AATAGAGAAGACTTAAGGTATTTCTATGCTTCTTAGGAAAATGACAAAAGAAATGAAGTCACATGAAAATTTATGTACAATGTATAACAGTAAAAGCAACAACTGAAGCTGGGGCTGGCCACATATGCACATGTTTATAATCCCCGTACTTAGGAAATAGAGGCAGGAGGATCAATAGTTCAAGACTAGCCTGGACTGCATGACCACCAGCTAAGTATTTATGTGTCTTCTCCAATTTCCAAAATATTAATGGCTTACCAGGAAATGTAGTTGGGAAGGAACTATTCACAGCTTTATCCAAGAAAAACATATTTTTGATAACATGTAGGTAGCTCAGAGGAACAGAACCATCACTGGGGAAGTTTAGATAATTTTAAAAGCATACACATGTGTTATCTTCTAAGGTACCTGTCATCTTTTGTCAGTGGATTGTACCTAAACCTTTTAGGATACATTTTATTTTTCAGGCAGGCTCTCACTATATAGTTCTGGCTGGACTAGAACTAACTATGTAGATCAGGCTGGCCTGGAACTCAGAGAGCTACCTGCTTCTGCCTCTGCCTCCCAAGTGCTAGGATTAAACGCAGAGAGGGAGGGAGAAGGAGGGCAGAGAGAGGCAGGGGGTAGGAGAGAGACATTGGGAAAGTCAGCTCTCTCCCTCTACCATGTGGATTAGTCCCTAAGATGGAAATCAGGTAGTCAGGTTTGGTGCAAGTGCCTTTAGTGGCCAAGCCACATCTTGTAGTTCCATATCCCATTCCTTTTCCTAGCACACACACCCTGCTGTGTTTAACATTTTCTTCTTCTATCTACACACCTTAGTGGTACTTAGGATGTCACTCATAACTATTGCAGGTGTGGGCTAACACAGAAAAGCTGCTTTAAAATTCTCAGTGAGCTATATACACTTATTGGTAAAGCCTCTTTCTTCCCAGTCTACAGTTCTAGCGAATGCACACTTCTGATGTTTCCATTCTGTCGTGGGTATTGTAAGAATTCAACAAACAAAAGGAACTAAGATGTAAGCACCGAGTAGCAAGTTTCATCCTGGTTAGTTATCAGCAAATCTTAGTCAAACTGCACAGGATGTTACAGTGCTTGCAACTGCATTTACTTAGCTCTCATTCAAGAAAAAAAAGATAGAAAGCCCCTTGTAGTGTTTACATGGCACCACAGTGTATTATGTTATCTTAAGTATGACAGTGCACCTTCACCTGTGAGTCAACTTTCAGTTTCTGTTCCTGCTATCAAACAAAGAATGAAAAGACTGATGGAAAACTCCAGAAACAAGAAATTCCTAAGTTCTAAACAGTGAATAATTTCAAGTAGCACATTAAAGCCCTGTAGCCCTGTGTTACCCAGCTCTGTCCAAACAAATTGTTTCCTTGGCAGCAAGCAAGCTGTCACGAGTTCTACTATTTCACAGACCAAGTAGTGCACTGGCCTCTGTGTAACAAAACTGCTAAAGATGATGGCTCCCTAAGCTGCAGGGTATTTTTCACACACTTTAGAGATACCACTCTTATTTATTGCTCAGCAGTTTATGTAAATGTGATCTTTTACCTCTGTGAAGAGACGGGCCTCATCAGAGAGCATATTATAATCCTGTGCACATTTCTTTGCCGAATTCTGCAAAAACTTTAAGAATTCATTAACTTCTTCATTCACATGTTTCTTCATATCCTTAAAAAAAGTACACATCTTTAAATAAAGGTTCACTAAAAATATTGACTCCTCAATAGTTGCTCTAATAGTTTGAACTTCAAAGAGTAAAACATCAAATCCAGAGAGGAAAACACAAAGAAAATAATTTTAAAATGACCAAATAATGATAGACTTATTAACAACTCTAGGGAAGAAGGCTGAAGAAATGGCTCAGTGGTTAAGTGCACTGGCTGCTCTTCCAGAAGTTCTCAGTTCAATACTCAGTAACCACATGGTAGCGCACAACCATCTGGTCTGTGTGAAGACAGGTCACTCATATACATTAAATAGATAATTTTTAAAAAGCTCTAGGGACCTAGGGAATAGTTTACTGGAACCTTTGGTTTAGCATTGTGTAAGGCATGGGTTCAAATCCATGCATGTACAGGTATACACACACACACACACACACACACACACACACAAGCACCAAATGCATTAAAAACTCCACAGAAGCACTTGAGAGACAGAGGTGAGCAGAACTCTGGAGTTCAAGGCCAGACTGGTCTGCAAGGAAAGTTCCAGGATAGACAGGACCATTATACAGAGAAATCCTGTCTTGGAAAGAAACAAAAAACAAACAAACAAAAAAACCATCCATAGAAATAAAAAAACAAATGACCAAAATCATGATATATGTTTAGGAAATTCTATTTTTTAAGAGAGAAGTGAGCAAACTGTATGTACAACTAGGAGAGTTATAGAACTACAAATGCTTATTGCTGGGTGTGGTGGCACACTCCTACAATCTTAGTACTCTGGAGGTGGTGCTGGACTAGTCGTTCAGTCACCCTTGGCCATCAATGATTGCAGACAACTTGAGGTATGTAAGTCACTGTTTCAAAACAGTAAGAAAAAATAAAAAGCAATGGTTTATAAGTACATGGAAAATATTTGTTTTCACTGGTATCCAATATATTTATTTAGGTAAAACAAGAAATCACCCATTTCTCATATACAACAAAGCCCAAAAAAGAGAGAGCAAAGTCTAATGTTGGTGGACATACCTTCAAATCCTCTTATAGTGGTATAAATAAATAATTCAAACCTTTCAAAGAACAATTTATCTATCCCTAACTACAGACCAAAACTTTAAAAACTCATGCAGCATTTGATCTTAAAATTTTATTTTAAAAAAACTTCATTTAAAGAACCTATCTAAAAGAAACAATCACAGGGACAAACAAAACTTCTTGCTAGGATGTAAAGTGAACTAGAGTAAGGTCTCTGCTCTGCACACAATAAAATCAACAGGAGGGTTAATGTGTCAACACTAACTAAAGTCCCTACTTTCCCATTTCTATAAATATGACCATAATAGTAAGAGAAATAAGTAACAAATTAACAATGACAAAGACAAATGAAAGGAAATGTAAAGTAGAATTATTTCCTGATTCTTGGTATTCTTACTGAAGCAGATAAATGGAATACATACCAAATACTGCAAGAATTCATTTGTATTTGTCCCAACAGCTTTGGAACTTGAGGGAATCTTTGCATATTTAGCCAACAAATCCACGTAAGCCCTCTGCTCTCTCTGTGAGAACCGAGAGAAACGAGGATAAGGAACTCTAGGTTTTGGAAGGAGAATCATCCCAACTTTTTCCTTTGCTTGAGTTGATGAACTAACTGCAGGCTCATTTTCTACAGAACTTGCTGATACATTCAAATTTTCTCCTATACGTCTGGAAAAAAAAATACAATTTACAATATGTGCTTTTCACATGAAGATTACTATCATGAAACTTATGATTCCCAATCAAAAGGGAGAATAATATGGCATGATTAACAGTAACTTCTGGATTATTATCTAACTCTGCCACCTGCATTTTGATGTTCAGTCATTTAGTGTAGATTAAGTATTCTGCATGAAAAGACCTCATTGCAGGCTTACCTTCAGCCACCTGACGGAAAAGGGGAGACACACTTCAAACAGCTATTCTATTTAGAACTTTCCCCTTTTATTAAAAGGGGAAATCATTCTTGTGAATTATATTAACATTTACTTATTGCAATGCCATTTGGTTTTTAATGCTTAATTTCTTCAGTGAGGTGCATCGGTTAATATGGTGAAGAAAGAACATTAAGAACAGAATAAAGGGGCTGGAGAGATGGCTCAGAGGTTAAGAACAGAATAAAACAGGGTCACACACTTGAAGTTAATTCATTCACTGAGATTCTAAATTTTCTGGTTTCCATGGGCTATCTCATAACTTAAATATAAAATTCCAATAACTGTTTTTACATTTTTTGGAAGCAGTAGTAATTTTAGAAAGACTGGACAATCCCCTATCTGTCACCTATATGGTTAAACCCACAGAAGTCTCTATGCTTTTTATGGATGTGAAAGAAAAATTACAGCATATAAGGAATTGTGCTCAAAGGCAACGAGTAGTACCAGTCAGAGAGCCTGATATTAGACTTGTTTGTAAAATGACACATCCCAATTTAAAAAGTCACCTTACTATTTCTAGTAAGACATACAACTATAGAGTACTAGCTTGTTCATAAATTAATCTTTGCTATTCAGTTATTTTAGTCTACAATTTTAGTAAAAGAATAGAAATCTACCAAAAAACTCTACTTCCTTGGTTTCTAAAACTCTGATTTCTACCATGGTCACTGATTCTTGAACTTGGCTCCAAATTAAACAATGATAATTCATGGAGGAAAGGAAACTAATGAGAAATATGGATGTCTACTGACTCATTCACTAATATTCATTGATATTTATAATTGTTGGTATATGCTATGTCCAAGAGCTTTAACCAGCAGATTACAGTACAATCTTGGAATGCCAGGATCTTAAACTAATGGTTTGACAAATGAATGAAAGAAAACCACATCCATATAAAACTGTATCCATTATATACATACACATATACATTTATACATATATGTGTGTATGTATATATATATGTATATTGATCATAATGATATTAGGTTTCCAAAATATATTTACCAAATAGCTGGCTGAGAAGAATGGTCTGGAGACCATGGATTAAGATCCAGAGAGAGAAGGGAACAATGGTCGCAATCATGACAGTATTACTTTCCTTATGGCATTCATTTCTTTAAGCCAATAGGAGCATCTAACTCATTACCAGAGGGAAAGGTTGGCCATAATCTGGAGGAATACTGGATGCTCAGAACATATGACACTGTTTTACACAACTTGTACAGGTCCTTTACAATTCTGATTTGCTATTACTTTAATACCACATCTTATTTTTTCTATGATTATTGCTTAGTATGTTTTATTCTGTTTCTCTTAAATACAGTCTTGTTCATTTTAGGATTTGGTGCTGAAAACTGAATCAGGGACCTCTTATAGGCTGTACACATGCCACACCCACTGTAACTGGACCATCTTCCCAATCATCACATCTTCTGTTGTAGTGATGTCTATGAACTACGCATTGCAGGGTAGGTATTGTTCTCCTTTTATTTCACATTATGTATTTAGGACATCATGCTATTTTTAAAAGTTATGATTCTGGCAACTAGCTATCAATCTCATTTTATGCTAATGAAGGAGTTCATTAGTTCTAAAAAATAGTTGCTATGAAACAAACAAACAAAAATAAAATTCCAAGGCCAGGCAGTGATGGCACATGCCTGTAATTCCAGCACTTGAGAGGCAGAGGCAGGCGGATCTCTGTGAGTTTGAGACTAGCCTGGTATACAAGAACTAGTTCCAGGACAGCCTCCAAAGCCATAGAGAAACTTCTGTCTAAAAACATAATAATAAAAATAGTTGCTATAAAAAGCATGAAGGTTTGGAACTTATTGCTAAGACTGGGAACTACTAATTTATAATACTATAATAAATATGGTATAAATTACAAAGTCTGAAAATAGTATTTTAGAAGAGGGTAAGAAGCTTCCTTCCTCAAATAAAACGAAATTATTTCAAAACACTCTCAGAGATAAACTATGAATGAAAAACTCAACAAATAGCTAATCAATTAATGGGAAGAAAATTTTGGAAATTAAAATTGGGATGTTTAGGTTGACTCCAGAAATACAGGCAAGAACACATACTTTTAGCTCAAAGTTTCTCTGATAACTGTATAAAAATAAGCTCATTTTAGGTTAACAAAATGAATATTAACTGCTGATCTTGGTAGAAATGTATTACAGCAAATTGATTTCTCACTAGAATATGTCTTGAGAGCTATTCAAACCTAACAGTATTGTGTCCGCAACTCTTAACAATCCTGCTTCACAGCTGTCTCTCTGAATATGAGAACATGTCTGTCCTCCTGGCACAAACTGGCAAATTTAATTAAGCTGCTGCAGCAACGAGATGCTGACTCAGATATGCCCAAACAGGAATGTCAAGACATTCTAGCCGTTTAAATTGGCTACACACAGCACAGAATGAAATGGCAGCACATCAAGATCATTTTCAAGTGCAGCGCTGTCAAAATCTTCATCAGGTGCAGCCCCAAGTACTCAATAGCACTACCTACACACTATACCACTGCATTTTAGTTCAGCCGATAGTTTCAAGTTTCCGCCTTCATTTTGTCAACTACCATTTTCCTCTTCAAGTTGCTATGAAATAAAGGAATGTTCTAAACTATTAGTTTGTTAGATAGACTCTAAGTTGACTAGTTTGGCAGTTTATTTAAAGACCACATTTGAAAATGATACTTCTGAGTTCTATCTCAAAGTCTACTTGAATCTTGGAGTTTAGTTTCTTTTACATTTATCAGGTTACAGCAACTATTTCTCATCTTATTCTGAACGATTCAGTATCTTGTTGATTTAAAACTCAATTATAAAGATCTGTAACTAAAATGCTTCATTTGAAATAACGGCAGGTGTTTATTTTTACATAAACAGCTCTTCCATACTGACTTTCTACTTTACTCACAGAAACTTCTATCCCTGACTGTACTACCCTAGTGGCTCTTTCATCTTACAAACATGTATGGAGTAAAGCAGTCTAGTGAATGTTTTTTATACTGAAGTTCAGAGTAAAATGCCCATTGCTGATGTGATGAGGTTGAAAAAGTCACAATCCTGAAATCAACACATTAAAGGTATTTCTTTCTAACATGCTAGAGAACACAAAAATTACTGTATATTATGAATAATGAAAAATGTTATTTTTTCCAACAAGCAAAGTTCTAAATAACTGAACCCCAAATCAGTTCCTTGCTGAAAGAAACAAAAATCTAGTAACACATATCAATACTTTGTGCTTCTCTTTTACATTAAAATGTAAGTTATACTAATAAACTGTGCCATTTTTTTAAAAATCTAAAGACAGGAAAGCATATTCTAATAAAAAGATTTTAGGAGTTTTGTTTCTTTTTATACGGCTAACTGCCAGAAAATATACCCTCTCCTTTATATAACTCATGCCTAAGAAATGCTGAGCAAAACTATACTTGCAAAGAACCATTAAGTAAGAAGCCGTGGTAGAATGAAGACTAACATTAAAGCCAGGCATGGTGGCCACACCTGCAATCCTAGAACCCAAAGAGGCAAATGCAAAAACATGAGGTCAGATGGGTCTAAAGAGTGAGCTTGGGCTAGCCAGAGTTACACGAGGAAATCTTATTTCAAAAAGGAAAAAAAGAAATAGAGATAAAGTCAGGAATTTGTATCTACAATGATATAGGCTAAGACAAAAATTTCAATGGAATTTTATGCATCCATTAAAAAAAATCAGAATATCTACAAGAAAGAGGAGGCAACTAGAAATTATTCTGCAAAATGTCAGACTAAGAAAAACAAATGATGGTCATACATTTAAAACTTTATATATTTGTGTTGAACTTAATTAGATCATGGAGGAGAGGAAGAGATTTTTAAGCAAAGGGTTATTATCTGGGGGGAGAAATCAAAACAGCTTAGGAAGTAAGGAGAGCATGGGTAGAAAGAATGAATGAGAGCACAGAATAATGGAATATATGAAGATACCATGCTGGAACCCATTATTTTTGTATGCTAGACTAAAACATTAACAAAAGGGTGGGAAAAGCCCACAAATCAAACTAAAGGGTTTAGGAAAGGTGCTGAGCAGCGGGAAGATCAGAGAGCTTTCCAATAATCTTTCTCCTTACAAGGCACATGTACTCCTTGTAGATACTTGGGATCATTCCTGGAGGAAGCTTCCAACAGTTGGAATGAGAAAGCAGGATGCTGGGAGAAAGCATGCAGCAGACTAGAGCCCTGTGCTCCTTGGAGCCTCTGCCACTGCCCATTCTGCTCTCATGAATCCTAAAAGGAACTGGAGAGATAGCTCATTGGATAGCAGCACTGGCTGTCATTGTAGAAGGCCCAGCCAGGTTCAATTTCTAGCACTCACATAGTAGCTCACAATTGTCTGTAACTCCAATTCCAGGGGATTGGCACTTACATACATGGTATACAGACATGGCAAAACACCCACACACATTTTTAAAAAGTATCAAGAGTCTTGGAGAGAGGACCTTAGAAAACTAGCATGTCTATTTACATTTACAGATCCAGTGATTTTTGTAACTTTTCCTGATACCATAATGTATATAAATTGAGATATTAAATGGGTGAAAATTAAAAAAAAAAAAAACAGAGCACTATGCTACTTTAAGGGTAGGAGTATAAATGCTAGCAGTTCACTTTGAAAGGCATCCAAACAAGATGTAATGACACAGACGAGGGTTAAAGGCAGATGAACAGACAAGTGAATTTAAAAAATGTTCACAGAATCCAAGAATTGAGTATAATGGCAGTCCCCGCCAAAGTTCTAATTCTGCAGTATGTCTGAAATTTTTTTTCTCTACAATGTTCTTCCAAAAGTTCTGTGATTGAGTTTCTACTTAGCTTGTCAAGACTTAGCCTTGCCCAACTACTATGAGTGAAGATTTGAACAGGGTAACTGCCAAGGTGCTGTCTAGTCCCCAGATTTTCATTCCCTGTTCCTTTGTGACTTGGAACATTGCTCAACACACTACATCTACATCATGACTTAGCTCTGCTAGCATGAGCAGCTAACTTTTCTTACACGTATGACTCGGTGTAGACCCAGGCAGAGTGACACTGCTGTTTGTGGCTCTAAAGCAGGTGCACATGTGCGAGTTCCTGAAATTTGTTTTGAAACCAACCACCTGTTAATGTAATTGTGTGGGTACTTTCCTGGATTCTGGGACTTTGGGACTCTGTTCTCAGGCCATCACAGTCTAGTTCATTTGTCCTAAACTGAGCACTTGTGTGTAGAGATCTTCCTGAGTCTAAGTTGGCTACTCGAAACTCAAGTTAGTTTGTCAGAGCCTTGTGTCATTCACATTAATTGGCATTAGGGAAACTGACTGGTATCAATCCTTTTTCAAGATTTTTGTTACAGATCTGGGCTGTGGAATTTTTTTCTTCAGGAAAATAAAGCCAGTAGCTCTACATATAATTGTTCCTGCTTTTTCTCTAAGTGTACATTATTCTTAGTCATGACTGGGTGCTGTGCTCATTGTTGGGTTGTACCAGGTGGCAGAGTCATTGTTAGATGTCAGACTGAGTTATCATTTGTACTATTGCTGGGCCGTGATTAGTGTTCTAAGTAGCTGTCGGCTTACTGAATTACTGCCTTCTTGTGGAGTCATTGTTGGAGATTTTTGTTGAATCTCCTAGCAGTTCTGCTGAATTATTATAGAACAATTTTGCTGAGTCATTTTTTGAAAATTTTGTTAAACCACCTTTTTTCCAGATTCACCACCTGGAATTTCTGCTGAGTTGTCACAGAGCACTTTTCTCAAGTCACCCTTTGGGTTTTACTGAGCCACAATTCAGCATTTTGCTGAGCTGTCTTATGTAGGGTATCTATAGCTGTGATAAAACACCATGACCAAAAGCAACTTGAGGAAGAAAGGGTTTATTTCAAGCTTACAGTTTCATATCACAGTTCATCACTGAGACAAATCAAGGCAGAAACTCACAGAGGGCAGGAACCTGGAGGCAGAAGCTGATTCAGAGGCCATGGAGGACTGCTGCTTACTGGCTTGCTCCTCATGACGTGTTCAGACTACCTTCTTAGAGCATCTAGGATCACAATCCCAGGGGTAGCATAGCCCACAGTTGAATTGGCTTTCCCACATCAAACATCAATCAAGAAAATGCACCAAAGGCTGCCCATAGGCCAATCTAGTGGGGGCATTTTCTCAATTGAGGTCTCCTCTTCCAAAATGACTCTAACCTATATCAAAATGACATTTAACTCACCAGTACACTGAATTACTTGGACTTTTGCTGAACTATCCACTTAGCATTTTTTGCTGATCCACTGTTTGGTGGTTTTGCTGGGTCACCACTATGCACTTCTGCTGAATCCTTAGGCATTTGTGCAGTCACTTGAGAATGTTCTGGTATATCATTTCTGGGCACTGTGCTGAGTCAGCACTTCCCCGGCTCTGGCTGCTTCCTTTGAAATTTTGTAGGCA